TTGCTGGACTTACAAAGGACTTTTTCTATTCCTCCCCCCTGCCACACACACACACCCCTCATCTAACCAGAACTAAGCAGAAGAAAAGTTTAATAGGCATCTCAAGCCGTACAATCCCCAGGCCCAGTATAGGAGGCCTATTTAAACTTAATTGACTAAAACTCGATTGCTGGGTTAGGGATGCTGAGGCATCATCACAGCGTCCAGCTCACTGGAACCCTGACCACAAATACTGTCATACTTTTCCGGGGATGACTGATGGAAGTGCTCCCCACAAAGTTTATGAACACTCCAAGTAATCCCCTTGAGTCTTGTAAAAGACTACAGTAAGATCTGAAAGTCATGCTAAGCTGAGGCTTATTCACAACAGGTAAAATACAAAACACTGATGCTGACTTCACAGTGCAAGCATAGCTAGGCCATCTGAGAAGAAATAATGTGGTATCCCTTCCAGTATATCTTCTATATTCATCATAATTTCAAGCTGGCTTCTAGGTGTCTGGTTACTCCTTAAAACTTTATGTTTTTCCTGGTTGCTAATCTATTTCTTGAGATGTTTCAAACCAGATAACCCCTTGTCACTGAAAAAGGTAATTCATTTAAAGTGAAACTGTTAATATAACAGGATTTTCCCTGTCAATTACAGCTTGGGACCCTCTTGATTTACACAAAAGAATGCTTTAAAGAGGGTGGACTAAGGGTATAAGAAAGCTGTAAAGCAGCAAACAGCGTGCTTCAAGAGAGAAAAATCTCTCTGACACTATCCACAGTTGTTTTCAAGAAGCTGGGATAAACAGATAATCTTCCTTCAACGATCGTGCTAGGAACTTTACTTGTCAATAAATCACCCAAGTGCCTTGGAACAGTGAGATCCCAGCTCTCGCTCTCGCTCTCTTTGTCTTTCTTCCTCTTTCTCTCTTTCTTTCTCTCTTTTTCTTTTTCTCTCTAGGCATAGCTTTCTAAACCTAAATTTTATTAGTTAAGCTTAAGTTAGGTTTTCCCAAATACTCAATTAAACCAAGGTAATATTGTAATGGTTTTTGTTTTTCCTTGCACCTCTATTATTACTAGTACCATTATACATTTCATATACTTAGCAATAAATAACTTTTATAGTCAAACTGGTGGTAACCGGGTGTATTTTTACTTCTCTACTTCCCCTTCCCCACTTGCTCTGTAGCAATGCTTTTTACCTAAGCCAAAGGTCCCTGTGAAGCCCAAAAATACTGTGGGGTCCGCTCATCAAGAGGCTACCACTGCTAGGGCAGTTAGGGCAAAAGATTGAGATGTGCTAAGTTTAAGACATATAAGGGGATCCGCTTTTATAGGCTGACTGACCCACTTTGGCTCAGACGTGCCCTGATGAACTGAATGCTGGCCCATGAGGGTGTCAGCAGGACACCTAGCTGGATTCAGAGCTTTTCTGTTTCCTGTGTGCTTGTGTCTGACTGCATTTTATTGTTACCTTAATGAACTGATTCCTGGTCTATGAGGGTGTCAGCCTGTCCAGGCTGATCAACCCAGCCAGGTCAGGCGTGTCGTGTTAATCTGTGTGTGTTTGTGTGTATGACTGATTTGGTGGCTGGAGAAACCCATCCCCATTGAAACTGAGTCCTGCAAGATAGCTCAATTGGGGGTGGGACTTGCAGAAGGGAGATATACAGCTCCGTATAGAAACACCAGTACACAAGCAGCACATTGACAGAATTACAAAGACCCTAGAAACGTATCCCTAATAAATGAGCACGCCCCAAAATGATGGGCAAATCTGGTAACACTTGTCACTGCCAGTCATATTCCTTGGTCCTGAAGACTGCTTTTGAGGCTGTATTAGAAAACCCATGTAGAAAGTGATTCAGCATGCTCCCCAGCAGCAAGTTCCAGCTGCTCCGAGAGCTTCTCTAGCGCATCCGGTCTTTAGAGGAAGAATTTCAAGCTCACTCTCTTTCCTGCTGGGGATTTTGTGCTGATGCTCTTAAAAAGTCAGTCCCACTCTCAGAACAAAACTGCAATCGGAGCGTAAAGAGGGAAGTATTCAGAATGGAAGTTCCTCTGTTATTGTGAAGGAATCGAAACCTCATAAGTAGCAAGTCTCGTATCTCCGCTCAGAGCAAAGAGCAGATGGAAAAACATGACTGGAATGGTTTGACCATATAAATCAAATACAGTGTAACAGAACCACAAAGTGAAATGGAAGTGAAAGTCCTGGCATACTCTTTTGTTGCTATGATTGATGTTTGCAAGTGATTGCAGAGCGTGGTCAGTTTAGGGTTTCATCTCAGCTGCTCCTTCCTCTCTGTGCACCTTGAGTCATGGAAAGGCCTGTGCTGGCTCAGTTCTGCCTGGGCACTGCCCCACTGCACTGGGGAGTCCACAGCAGGGCTTTGGGGCTAGATGCTTGTCCTTTCACAGCACAGACAACTCCTATAATGGTGGACTATGGTGGCCTGGCTTTTCTGAGACCACTCATGTTTTAAGTCAGAAGGGACCTGTTACATCCTGTAGTTTGGTGCCCTGTTGCTTCCACTGTGGTGTTTATTTCTCTTACCCCCATGGATGCCTCCTGGATGTTACCTGCAGTCCACACCTTAATGAAGTGTCAACACATCCCTGTAGATGGTTGTGTCTCGTGTCACAGAACCCAGAAACTCTGGCTTCACTGTTTCTATAGCCCACTCGATCCCTCCTGTGTAAATTTGGGAAACTGAGGTACATGGCACTATTACAACATGGACACAGCGCAGAAATTTTACAATTAACCCCACAGTCCCTCACAGGAGGATTCTCCACTTCCCCTGGGAGTTTGTTCCAATAGCTAATCCTTGCCAGCAAGATTGGAGGTCAAATATATAAATTTGCCACTGCCCAACCAGATTTTAAAGCCAAAATACAATGCACTAGATTTACCAACTTGATAAATGTTTTACTAGCATCCAAGTGGAATTTAATAAGGATATAAACAGCCTCTCTTTAATGAGATGGGAAACATTCCCTACAAAGGTTCAGGCAAAGTCCTTTTAAACTCTACTTTTACCTGGAGTAGAAATTTTTACAGCAGGACACTTCATTAGTCTTAACCAGTGAACAAATTTATTGACTTACCAAGAACTACAGAAGTAATAAATCAATGATTCTACTACATTCAAATATAAGATGTTCTAGGCAAAGATTGTATAAGACATAATATCTTACAAACAATTGAGACAGAAATGTGCTGAAGCATAGCAGTGATAATCACAGAAGAAATACATACCCCAAAGATCTCTTACTATAGGTAGTGATGATCTTTAGTCATTGATTCTTTGGTGTCATTAGCACATTGATAATGTTCTAAGAAACTCTCAAAGTGGCAGATTGTTTTAAGCGCTCTCAGAAATGTGGACAATGAACAAGTTGCACGCACCATATCCCTGACTGCAGGGCACCAAGTTCTGCTCCAAACAGGGACCTGAGCTGCCAGGGCCAGAGCCCCCCACTGCTCAGCAGCCGAGGACAACAACAGCTTTTGGGAGACTAGATTCAAGGGGCCTTTGTGACTCACAGGAACAAATGACCCCCTCCCCCTATTAAACAATATCCCAGGAAAAACAGGACATGTTTAAAGTGAAGCACTGTTCTGCAGCCTGGTAGGATTTCTCTACCTGCCACCTTTGCTCCTGTCATTCCTTTAGGAATCAAATGGCTTCTTCTAGAGCAAGGGTGGGCAAAATTCAGACCGTGGGCCAGATGTGGCCCACCAGGCTATTCTATCCAGCCCGTGGGGCACCTCAAAATTTACAAAATTTATATTTATCTGCCCCTGGGTGCCTGTCATGCAGCCCTCGATGGTTTGCCAAAACTCAGTAAGCGGCCCTCCGCCTGAAATTATTGCCTGCCCCTGTCCTAAAGTGCTTTTTAGATGCTGCTTGAGATGGCTGAACATCTGTCTTGCGGAGGAGTGTGGGTGGGAGAAGAGGTAGAGAGAAGGGGATTGAAAGTTGCTGGGAGTTTAGACCAGTGATTCCTACCCTTTACACACTCAAGGCACCTCTCACAGAGTAAAGGCTCCCTCAATGATTTTTATGAATTAAGTGGCACCCAATTTCAAAAACTAATTTATGTATCACCGTGCTTACCTCCTTGCAGAGGGGCTGAGCAGTCGGGGTGGGGGATTGGCCAGGCAGAGACAAACCTGATCCTGTGTGTATCTATCTGCCTGTTTCCTCACCGTACCCTTTAAAGGACCTGGTGGCACCCCAAGGTGCCATGTCACCCTGGGAGCAATTCACTTGTTTAGACATGTAAGCTGCAGGGCGATTTCTTATTTTTCAAACATGAGTCAAAGAAGTCCATCAAAACAAATGACCAGGGTTTTTTTCTTTCCAGCTTCTGCTTCTGAGGGCCCACCTGGGGATGCCCTGGGCCTGGCTAGGAGCACCCATCCCTCTGAAGGTCTGGCCCAAGGTATCTTATGCTGAGCCCCCAAAAGACACAAGTACTTTTACTGCCCCTGAGCCACATTTCAGGACCCAGTGCTAAAGCTAAGGACAATGGAGAAGATTCCTTTGGACTCCCACTCCACATAACCCCTGGACAGAAGAAGAGTGGGGTGTCTGGAGCACTTTGGATGACCTGAACCCAAGAGGGTGTCGTGGAAACTTTTGGGTTAGGTCAGCAGAAGCTTTTATTCAAAAGAAACTACAGCTGTAGGGGGGACTCCAAAGTGACATGGATTTCCCAAGCACTTGGAAGGGGTCCCCCCCAAGAGCAAAATCAGGAGGCTTATATACTTTTTAACAGTTGCTTATAACTCACGTGATCATATAGTGAAATTAGCTAGGAAAGCAGCTACAAACAAACATTAGCTCATACTGCTTTGCTGTAATCAGGATGGGAACTTATGCGGGGGGCGAGGTTAGTTCACAAACCTCCTTCTTGCACCTGGAAATCAGAGTTGTACATACTTTTTCCTATCTTCAAGGCCGCGGTGAGTGAAGCAGTAGCAGAGGAGTTACAAAGAACAAACACTTTCTCTTATCTGTTCTACTATACAGAGCCAGCAATTCCCCACAAAGCGGTTATGTCATCTTATAACTTGTATGATCAAAGTTTAAGGCATTTATTTTTTTTCTGATTCCACAAGGGGAAATGGCTACTTGTTATTCCACACCCATACCCTGCTCTCTTGCACACTGGGACCTCACTGAATACGTCTAGGATCACATCCTAAGGGGAAGAGAGGCAGAGGGGTATCCCTGTGATGGGCATGTTAGGGGACACAGTATTTCCATTTTGTGCCTGAGTCTGAAACATAGCACCATATGTACTCCTGCCCATGGTGCCCACAGTAGTGCTGCGGAGAGCAGCAGTAATCCCAGTTGTCCCTATAATCGGTGTAGCACCAGAAATATTTCTTCCCATAGAGGCCACAAGGGAAGTCAGCACGGCACTGCTGCCCCGTCAAGGTCACGGCTGAGTACTGGGGTGAACATTCTGTCATTTCCCCATCCCCGCGTGCACACGCATACGTCCTTGTTACTGAATTGAACACACACCGCTCTGCACAGCAATAGCCCTTCCCTGAGTCTCCAGCTGCACGACACCACCTGTAGTAGGTCCCACTGTGTCTCCCACAGACTTGCTTAATGCATTGCCACCCCATGGCTGTTTTGTCAGAGCCTGGCAGATGTTTCTGCTTCTGCAAGATGCACAGTTTGCTTGAAGTGCTTGAAGCCTGCTCAAGTCCAGTGGACAACACACAAGCCAGGTGTCCTCGGTGGTACTCCTCCGTGAACTGGCTGTGCCAGGCAGCCAGGCTGGGAAATTCCAGCACAGTCCCAACACTTCTCTGCTCCCCCTCGGTTGGAGCTGGGGTTGTGCTTCTTGTTGTCTGTATGGCCTCTTCGTCCTGTCTGTTTTTCTCCCCTGGTTGGGACATCAGGTCCCGGAAGATGCTGCTCAAGGCTACTTTTATATGTGACAAAGCCTCCTGGGCTGTCTGACTCTGGGCATTGCAGTCATCTGTGAAGATCCTGACTGTCTGAGCAGTTGCATTCATAGTCAGGAGCACCTTGTGCAGCTGCTCTATGGGGAGGATTTGCAGCTGGGATTTCTCCCTGTTCTCGGCCAGGAAAGCAAGAGAGAACTTGCGGTCGGTGTCACGATTGTCACAGCACGCAGCTGTCCAGACATGGCTGGGCACGGACACCCGGTGGTAGGGCCGTACCCGGTCCCCTTCCCGGTCCTCGTGCTCTCTGGGGATGGTCTCCCCACTGGGGGTGGTGCCTGTCACCAGGTAGGTGACACCACCTAGGCGAAGGCAGCTCTTGGCCAGCTCCGCCTGGAATAGGTGCTGCAGCTTGTGCCAGCGGCTCCGGAGGAAGCAGGGCTCCATGGGGGCAGCATTGGTGAGGGTGAAGGTGGCTGTGCGGCTGCTGTCACAGTGAAAACTGCTCGGGTTCAGTGGTCCATGGTCATAGGAGGTGTCCTCATAGTCCTCGCTGATGGCCTGGCTGGATCTCAGCTCATCCTGGGTCAGGCCTGACCCTGCCTCCATTGTCATGTCTGGGCCCTTGTCTGCAGCAAAGAGCTGGAGGAGCACAAGGGCAGAGTGATTGGTCCTTCACAGGAATTCCCATGCTAGGGACATCATGGCCCCTTCCCTGCCCCAATGAACACAGCACAGCCCCGGGATACCCCTCCCCATCCCTGCCTCTACTATGTGCATTCCCCTTTCCTTCCCTGCACCCTCCTGTCCTTCCCTTAGGGTCCAACCCTTCTCCAACAAATCCCCCTGCTGTCTGCATCTCATGAGGGAGCAGCTGGTTTTGGCCCCTGCCTGCCACGTACGTCCAGGAATACTCTGCCATACACCTTCCTTCCATGCAGCTGCATAACTTCCCCTCCCAGGACCAGCACCAGGCTCTCACCCCCTCATCACACCTCCCCACATCCTTAGCATGTTCACTTTCTCTCTGGACACCCGTCTTTAATGTCTCTTCTCCTCTGCTCCCACCTCTTTCTCTCACACCCTATGCTTACAGGTCCCTGAGCAGCTCATAACCCCACAGTGATTGATTCAGTTCTCCGGGACTGACCTGTGGCTCTATAAACCATCTGCTTCTTCTCTGGGGCTGCCCTTCACAGGCCGTCTCGTTCAGCGTGTACGCAGACCAACGTGGGATGCGGTGGTCCCTGTCATACAGGGTGGCATAGTGGTACGTGCCATTGTATCTCTGGCAGATCTTTGCTGTGCGTTGGGTGTTGAACCCCTCTGGCTCAACTCCTTTGTAGAAATACTGCTGGCACCGACTGAATGGTCCCACCTCGGCCAGCGCCAGCCCAGCCCACAGGGAGACACAGCTCAGCACCACAAGCAGCCCCATGGCTTGGAGAGATGCAGGGTTGGTCTCTGTTCACTGCTATGTGTCTGGTCAATGGGAAGTGTCCCGCTACATGTGATCCTACAGGCACACGGGGCAACACCCAGGCTTCCTGGCAGAACTGCCAGAATTAGAGAAAGGAACCGTGCCAAGGCTTGATCAGCATGAAGCAAACGGGGAAGGAGCACGCTGACCTTCTCCAGCTGTGCTCTCCTCCGTCTGATGAAGCTCAAGGGACCTACCCTGACACCAGGGGCCATCTCCCCATCTCCTAGGCATGGGAGGAGGGGAGAATACAGCTCCTGCTGTCTTTCAGGGTGCTCTGAGAAACTGCCGATGGTTGGACAGATTGGGAGGTCAGGGGTGGTGGGGCAGCTAGAAAATGTAGCTGACGGGGGAACAGAGTGTCTGAAGGAGCGTGGGAATGATGGGAGCAGGCAATTTGGAGTGGATGTTGCCTGGCTGATACATTTCTGGAGCAGTGCCTGTCTGTGCTGAGAGGGTGTTGTGCGGTGGGGGACCGGTTCGGGGTGGTGTCAGCAAACAGGTGAGCGGAAACCTCAGGCTGGGTGGATACATCTGAGCAACGGAGCAATAGTGAGAGGGGCCAGGCCTAAATTTTCTGTCTAAATCTTCTTCAAGTGTGTGTGTGTGTGTGTGTGTGTGTGTGTGTCCATCAGATAGCCGAAACCTGAAAATCTGCCAAAACTCTTTTTCTTTAATTCCCAAACACATACATGGCCAAAATCCAACAAAGTATTGATTCCTATGTTTGGCACAGAAATCTCAGAAATCATAGACATTTTTTGGCAGTATTCTGTTACCCTTTATGTATCTAAATGGAAAATGTCCAGCTTCATAAATGGCTTTTTTGGTTCTTTCACACGGTTTGTGAAGGGACCTCCAAGAAACCATCTTATTCAACCCTCTTTGAAGTAAGACCAACTCTGACAGATGCCTATCTAACCTGTTCCTAGAAACCTCCAGCTGTCAGGATTATCCTCACCTCCCTCGGTAGCCCAGCTTCATTGCCTTTAGATTTTCAACATTTTTTAAAATATCTAACCCAAGTCTTCTTTGCTGGAAACTGAGATGATCTCTTCTTGTCTTATGTTCGATGCATGGAGAGCAATTGATCCCCATCCTTTTTGCTAAAACATTTATGTATTTAACGATTGTTGTTATACCTGCACTACAAGTCTTCTCTTTTCTAAACGTAAAGCAAAGCAGAACCACATCTGACACCATGGAGCAAAGGAGCCATGGGAATAAAATGTGGTGTAGATGCCTTTGGATGACGATTTACAGACAAAATGGGGAAGGGCTTAGAGCTGTTGAGAGATGGGCACTGGCACCCCGAATACAGGGGTGTTCATAGCCAGAGCTGTGACTCAGCTGCACATAGATGCAGGCTGACCGGGCATGGGAGCTGCAGAACTTTCCTCAAAGGTGACCAAGGTAATAACTAATTTCAGGACTGGTGAGCTGCCAGGCTTACCCACTAACCTCTGTCTTGAGCCTGAGTGTGATGATGAAGACACAAAGAGATGGAGAATCCCCCAGTTCCCTTGGATGCATGATTTGCTGGTAAATCTCTGCAAGTGTAATTGTTGGCTGTATTTGTGAATTTGCAAAAAGGTCTGGCTATATTTTAAAATGGAACCACAAGCAAAAAATTGCCCATATGGACATAGTTCTCCAGTAGCATTTAATGAAGATAAGATGAGCATCCTTGTTGTGAGACCAAAGAAAATGCATTTACTTCTTTGAAAGCTAGATACTTGTCAAGTTCACTTTTACCGGAATAGCACTTTCATACCAGGGCACGCAGCTATTTTTTATCATGCCAGAAGTTTATTCATTTGCCAAGCAACACACAGATCATAAATCAGCAATTCGAACGATCCAGTTTGGACACCTGGAATGCTGGGCAAGTCCTGAACATACCCTTATTATGAGCTTAAAAGCAACTGAGATAAACTAAGCTGAAGCCAAGCAGTTATATTGTGGAGCCAACCCATCTCTCATAATAGGATTTCTTAGTTCATTTACCCATAATGACCAGTTCTTCATTTTTTGGTGACATTAACATATTTATTAGGTCTAAGCAATTCTCCGAGGGAGGGAGGGGGATGACACTTCTTTCAAAGGGCACCTCAGGACCATGGTAAATGAGCAAGCTGCACTCACAGAATCCCTGGGAGCAGGGCACTGATGTCTGCCAGAAAGACAACCCGAGCAGCCAGACCCAGAGCGCTGCTACTGCTCAGCAGGAGGGATCAGTAACAGCTCCTGGGTGACTGGGTTCAAAGGGGGTTCATGCATGCACCGGAACAAGAGAACCTATTGCATGAAATGGAGGACCAGGTTTTTGGAGTGTCGGGAGGGCCAGAATCAGGGGGGCTGTGTATTGTGTGCCTGTATCTATGGTCTGTGCTCCATCACCAGAGGACCCTGCCTGAACTGCATTACCATGGGCACATCTATAGGTGCAGTTAGGGTGGAGCAATAAACACCGATGCTTATTGTGTCAGAGTTTATTGCTCTCAGGAAGTTCCCGGGCACACCATTTACATGTGCACCTGGGAGTGCAGCATGGTGAGCCGGGTTGGAACAGCCCTGGCTGGCAGGAAGGTTGAGGGGGGTTCAGCTGGCCAACCCGAGGCTGCTCCCCCAGGCTTATCATGATGTGGAGGTGCTGGTTGGGGCACAAGGGTACTTCAGTACAGGACTAGCCAAAAACTTTTTTCTTCTTGCTTGGAGGGGAGTACTGAAACTCGATTTTCAGGTCCCGGAAGGCACCATTCAAATCTTTTTTCATTGATTCTATAACCTCTTCAGTTTTCGGGCTCTGAGCATTGCAGTCATCTGCCAGGACCCTGATGTTCAGAGATTTGTACATTTTCCTCAGCTCCTCGTTTAATTGCTCCGCAGGGAAGACTTGTAGCGTGGGTTCCTCTTTGTTCTCTGCCAGGAAGGCAAAGGAGAACTTGCGGTTGTTGTTGGCATTGTCACAGCAGACGTCTGTCCAGATATGGCTGGGCACTGCCACCCGCTCATAGGTCCGCTCACGGTCCCCTTCCTTGTCCCCGTTCTCTTTGGGGATTTTCTCTGTGCCACCAACAGCTCCTGTCACCAGGTAGGCAGTGCCATTCTCATTGAGGCAGTTTATTGTTAATTTGTCTTTCAGGCTTTTCTCCAGCTTGCCCCAGTGGATCCGGTTGAAGCAGGGGTCCATGGGGACAGCGTTGGTAAGGGTGAAGGTGGCCGTGCGACCACTGCCACACTGGAAGCTGTTTGGGTTCAGGTGTCCCCGGTCATAGTTGGTGTTTTCATAGTCCTCGCTGATGGCCTGAGTGGAATTCCGTTCGTGTTTTCCCAGGCCTGACTCTGATTCTATTTTCATTTCTGTACACGTGTTTCCATCTTTCAGCTGAGGCAACACAGGGAAGGGAAAGACTCAGAAATGCTCTTGCCCAAGGGAAATCCCTTTCCCCATCATCACACAGGTGGCAGAGCTATAGGCATACTCACTTTCTCCCCTCCTGCCCAACTTCCCCCAGACTCAAACCCTTGCCCACCAGTCAGTTCTACCAGGTCTGCATCCTATGATAAAATGTCCTCTCCTTGCCCTCATCCTCCCTGCCTGCCTTATGGCCTGGGGTCACTGGCCATTCACTACCATCTCCTACACCTAGACAGGAACCCGTCTATCCTATTCTTCTGGGATCTCAGCTCTCTGCTACCCTCTTTGCTCTACTCACCTGGTGAAAGCTCACCTTACTTTTCTTACTCTATGGGACCTTACTGCACCATATCGACCTTGCTCAGTCACACAGCTGCCCCTTCCCCATCAGTTCGTCCCCTCCCCTGTTTTCACCACTCTCCGCATCTCCAGCACTTTCACTCTCTCCCAATGCCCAGTCCTACCGTCCTTTCCCTCTTGTGCTTTTGCACCCCAGATTTATCAGGTTCCTGAGCAGCTCTGCACCCCACACTGCCTGACCCAGTGTGCTGGGACTGACCTGTGGCTCCACAAACCATGAGCTCTTTCTCTGAGGCTGCTTGTCACATGATTTACCCTTCAGCGTGTATGCAGACCAGTGCGGCGTGAGGCGTTGCCTGTCGTACAGGGTGGCGAAGTGGTAAGCGTTGTTAAAGCGCTGGCAGATCTTTCTTGTCTCTTGAGTGTCGAACCCCTCTGGCTCAGCTGTTTTGTATAAATATTGTTGGCAGTTAATGAACGATGATCCCCCCTCAGCCAGCGCCAGCCCAGCCCACAGGGAGACACAGCCCAGCAGCACAAGCAGCCCCATGGCTCGGAGAGATGCAGGGCTGGTCCCTGTGTAGCTGCTATTTGTAAGGACCCTGAGGAGTGTCTGGCTACACGTGACACTTGGGTAAGCTGCAGGCTTCCCTGTAGAGCGTTCTGAAATAAATGTGACATCAACATAAAGCAAACAGGGTTTGTGTTTGAGCAGCTCGCTACTTTCCACCTGCTGTGCAGTGCTTCCTTCCCCTTCCCTGCAGAATAGGAGTGACCAAACCTCACTGAAGTGGGGAACCAGCTCCAGTGTTGGGAAGGGGAGACACAGCACACAGGGACCACATCTACATGAGACCATATCTGCATGAGACACTGATGGTGTAGTAGCTTCTTACTACTGAGCAGTAGCCTTGTGTGGCAGGAAGCATGATATGACACTACTGCACAGTAGTATCAAGCTATTGTGCAGTAAGCATCACCTAAAGGCCATTAAGTGACACTACTGAATGGTAACTTGGGTTACTGTGCAGTCATTTAGTACTTGTTTGTAGAAGTACTAAATGACCACACAGTAACAACAGCACAGTCATTGTCTTGTGCAGACATGGCCAGGATATTGTAGAGAGTGTGAGAAACCCTTTTTCAAGCAAGGAGGATATTTTGGGTCAGAGGGTTTGGAAGTGTGCAGCTGAGAGGCAAGCAGAGGGTGCATCCCACCTTTACACACGTCCTATAGGTCTTCCCTGGCTGCAGGCTCCAAAACCAAAAATATGGCTTGGAAGCCTCTGACACATGGGCTGGAGAAAGGTCTCAAGAGTGGTCAGGGAGAGATCCCGCCGGGCAGCCTCACAGTCTTGTGCCTGGTCTTGGTGGGTGTGTGTGGTCATGTGGGTAATGCCAGGAGCAAACACCCCCATCATTTCTGGGAGCCAGGTGGCTCATACCCTGGGCCCAAAATGAACTCTCCTGCAGGTAGGCCAGTAGCACTTAAGGAGCTAAACTTAGCTGCATTTGTGGCCGTTTGGGCCACCTGGGCAGATTTTAAATCTTATGCCCCTGCGGGACCTACATTCCCACATGAGCACACATACAATTGATCCACTTGGAAGACTTTTGCTCTGCAGTAATCCCCTCCCTTCAACAGTAAAACTTCACAGGAAAACAAAGGCTTCAAAGGTTTCGTGGCAGAGGAGACCCTGAGTCTCCCAGGACTCTATAACAACAGTTATGACCTTTACCCAGAAGACTGCGAACTCATTACCCACAGTCTGATGAGTAAGTGGTGCGGGAAAATATTATTTGGGGGGGCTGAGCCTTGCCTGACCCCCATTCCTCCCTTCTGCAGGGCCAATGCAGGGCCAGTGCGTCCTGGTGCTGTATGCAGTGGTGGAGGAGCAGCTGCATGTCGAGTGGCACAACGCGCTATGAGACAGTGCCACCACGGTGCTGCTGCTGTCACCAGCAACTGCAAACATTTGTGGTGGGGGGCTAAGCCCCATTAGCCCTGGCCTTCTAACACCTATACTCTCATGAGCTACAAACTGTGAGTAAGTCCAGGTGGGCTGGGGCTGAGATAGGCAACCTGAGAGGGAAAGCCTGGGGAGAGACGAGGGCAAAAAGCACCCCAGAGAGATTTGAAGTGACTTGTTCATGTTTTGATTATTTGGTAAAGTGGATGCCTGGCTGCAGGAGCCCAGCCATGAGGCACTGTGCAACTAAAAGAGGATTTGGGAGCCTATTGAAGGCATATTGTATAGGTATCTCCCCCATAGAACACAAGAAAATTCCAGCTCTTAGTTTTTGCTCATTTATTGACTAAGCTATTGATGAGGTGTTGATTAGCTGTGGATTGACACCAAACATGATGGCTGTTAGTCTAGCTTGGGGGATTATGTCTGTATGAGGAATCAATGTCTGTCCCATCCCCCCTGTGACCGCTCAACCTTTTCAGACTCAAGGCACCCCCCAGAAAACACCAGCTCTTAGTTTTCGCTCATTTATTGACTAAGGAAAAGCACAGGGCAATTTCTCCATCGCAAGGAGCTCAGCAAGACCACAACCGGTCAGGATTAGTTTGCCTGGCGGATTCCTGCTTGAAATCATTGCCTTCATCAAGGGAATCATCTTTGTACATTTAGCAAGGCTAACAAGGCACGGCACCCTGCAGCTCCCTTGAAAGACTCTCAAGGCACCCCAGGGTGCCACAGCACCCTGGCTGGGAATCCAGGGGCTAAGCTGAGCCAGACACGCCTAGGGCGTGGACACTCCCAGCTGCAGGGGTGGCTGAGCTGCGCGGAGCTGCGGGACGACAAGACAAGGCAGTTGCGAACTCTGCTCTGAGGCTGCTTACCAGCTGGTCTGCAGAAGGCACAGAAATGCGGATGTTGCCCTAAGGGGCAGGTGACAGGGAGGTTACGAAGCAGGTGTGGTCAGTTCCAAGGAACTGCAAATATTATCAGGAATCAAGAAGTCAGTGGGTGGTGCTGGAGGCTTGTGGAGGGTCTTGCCTTGACTGAAAGGAGAGGAGGGGTCACAAGCAATGTCTGTTCATACTGATGTGAAAGGGAAGGACTTGGAACAATGAGAGGCTCCCGAAGAAAGGACACTGTCCCAAACCTGGTGATGACTGCAACAGCGGGCTTTTGCCCCAGGAGCGGGGAAGTAATCACTGCTCAGTTCTGCATATCCTTGGGGCATCAACTGGATTTTGCTTCTGGAGGACTGCCTCCCTTCTGCAGCAAATCTCAAACTCTTCAGGGTATCCTCAGTTTGCAAAATGAAATGGGTTTTCTGTCTTCACAGGAGCAGAATGCCTGCTGTTGCCAGCCACCCCAAACACTCTTCTCACCAGTCCCACTGAGAGGTGAGAAGTCAGGTCAGGGTTGTTACACGTGTAGCACACCCAAAATGTACAAGTCATTCTGTACTGTAAAGTGTGTTTCATGTTGCTGTGTTTGTTTGTAAAGCCAGATCTTGTTTGGCTGTAAAGCATAATCATTTTTTCTTTGTATAACATAATTGTTGTATTTTGGGCCTCCTCTAGGACTGGAGAGGACCACCTCATAGACATTAGGGGATGGAAGGGACCTCGCAAGATCATCTAGTCCAGCCCCCCTGCAATAGGCAGGATGTCTGCTGGGGTCAAATGATCCCAGGAAGATAAGCATCCAAACACCTTTTGAAAGAGTCTAGAGTAGGTGCTTGCACCACCTCTGGTGGGAGTCTGCTCCAGATCCTGGACACTCATACTGTAAAGAAGTTTCCCCTTATGTCCAGTCTAAATTGGCCTTCCAGGTATTTGTGGCCATTGGACCTTATTATCTCTTGGGGAGCCCTGGTGAACAACTGTTCTCCCAGATTCTGGTGCACCCCACCTATGTACTTATAAGCTGCCACCAAGTCCCTCCTGAGCCTTCTCTTCTCCAGGATGTAGAGTCCCATGTCCCTCAGCCTCTCCTTTTAAGGCCTCTCTCTTGGCCTTTGATCATGTGGGTGGCTCTCCTCTGGATTCTCTCAAGCTTATCCACGTCCCTCCTGAATTGGGGGGCCCAAAACTGGATGCAGTACTCCAGCTGCAGCCTCACCAAAGCCAAGTACAGTGGGAGGAGGACATCCCTCGTTTTGCTTGAGATGCATTGGTGGATGCATGCCAGAGTTTGGTTTGATTTGCTAGCTATGGCTTTCGCATTGGTGGCTCATTTTCATCTTGTGGTCAATCAAGACCCCCAAATCTCTTTCGGTCATGGTGATAATGAGCATAGCACTGCCAAGCCTATAAGTATGATGCTGTTTTTTCCTCCCAAGGTGTTGCACCTTGCACTTCTCTGCATTAAATGCCATCAGGTTTTGGTCCGCCCACCTAGTGAGCCTTTCCAGGTCGGCCTGTATCTCTAGCCTATCCTCCAGTATGATCGTGTTCCCCCATGGTTTAGTGTCATCCACAAACTTTACCAGTTTGCATCTGATTCCCGAATCCAGGTCCTTAATGGAGATGTTGAAGAGTACTGGCCCAAGTACTGAGCCCTGGGGGACCCCACTAGTCACCTTGTGCCATGTTGATTTTCTCCTATCAACTAATACTCTGTGGGTCTGGCCCTGGAGCCAGCTCCCCAGCCATCGGACCATGAGGTGGTCGAGACTGCAGTTCTCCATCTTAGCCATGAGGACATTGTGGGAGACCAAGTCAAAGGCCTTCTTGAAATCCTGATATATGACATCAACCTCATCTCCCTTGTCCAGCCAATATGTCACATGGTCATAGAAGGAGATGAGGTTGGTCAGGCAGGACCTTCCAGCAACAAAGCCATGTTGTCTGGCACTCAGAAAGTTGCCTTCCATTAGCCTGCTGCTGATGGAACCCTTGATAATTTTCCCTAGGATCTTTCCAGATAGATGTCAGACTGATCGGTCTGTAATTCCCTAGGTCTTCCTTCCTTTCTTGAGGACTGGGACCAAGTTAGCTCTTTTCCAGTCCTCCGGTACCTCACCCAAGCACCACTAGTTCTCAAATATTTTCACCATAGGACGTTGTGATGGGGGGACACCCTTGAGGTCGACCTCCGCATCAACCTACCCACCTGTCTTGGGCAGTCCACCCACCCATCTCGCCTGCCATGACTCGTTAGTAAATAATTAAATTATTCATTAGGCAGGAGGCTACCCCTGGTGTGCCCAGCTTTAGTGGGCAGTACATACATGCTCTGACCTCCCTTACACGTGTCCCATGCCTCGCAGGTGTTACTACTGTCATCAGTTCTATACACAACTGGCGTTGAGCCCTTTGACTCCTGTCTCTCTGCAACTCACAGGCACTGAGTTCTCTAGTGACTGGTTTTCTGTGCCCTTCTTTCAGATGCCTGGCTCTGTGCCTCTCCCCCAGATGCCTGACTCTGTGCCTCCTTAGCTGTGCCCCTCTGGTGTTAAGGGTGCTGCACCCCTCTGGCTGCACTTCTATGGCACTATGGGCTTGCCCCAACCCTGTACCTGCACCCCTCTGGTACTATGGGGTTGCTGGGTCCTTCTGGCTGCGCCCTCCTGGCACTCTGGGCT